CATGTTTTATAAAAGCAAACTAGAAAGACGTTGTTTATTCTATGCAAACGCAACTATGACGTCCTTCTTTACAGTGTTTTCCTGTAGGGGCGGATATGAGAGATGCACTGGACTTTTATTTCCAGGTAGGTCCAGTTGACATTTTTTCACTGTTAAATCAAAGATTTAATACTTCTGGCAATCCCATCAGAATTTCCTTTCTGTCCCTCAAAGTTGTGCGCCATAGAGGTCACGTGCGAGTCTGGCAGTGTAATGGCCGCCACACTGGCTAACGGAGGCATCTGTCCAATCACAGGAGAGAGAGTTCTGAGCACAGAAGCCGTACGAAACACGCTGAGTCTCATGCACTCCTGCGGGATGTACGACTACTCGGGACAGTTCGCTTTCCATGTGCGTAAAAGGATTGTTTCTACACTGTGTATATTGTATGACTTTCAATCCAGTAAGCTTATTTTTAAAATAATTTTTATTAAAAAATAGCTTATTTTAAAGGAAATTTAAGAGTGCAATCTGTTAAGATTTTGTGCAGCCACTAGTTATTATATGACTTTCAATCTGGACAATGTATTTTAAAAACGTATTAAAAACATTACTTATTTAAACATAAATTTAAGTGCACAGTCTTTTGAGGTCATACATATGTTATACAGGAGAGCTTTGAAAACTTCTAAGCAATATGATATTGAGGACTTTTCTGGTTGCTTCTTGTAACAAATTGTAATTAATTTTGCCGTACTGACACTTGTCATAGTAACAAACCATATGACTTTATATACCAATACATGTCAGGTTGGATTACCTGCTAAATCTGGTGTGTCTGGTGCTGTTCTTCTGGTGGTGCCGAACGTGATGGGTGTCATGTGTTGGTCGCCCCCCGTGGACAAAGTTGGGAACAGTGTCCGTGGAATTCGCTTCTGTCAGGTGCTTCTGCCATCATCCTGTTGGTTTTACACCCTCTTTTTATCATAAATTTAGTCTAAATAACTAATTTTGTAACCCTTCCATAATTAGGAACTGGTGTCTTTGTTCAACTTCCACAATTATGACAATCTGAGGCACTTTCTGAAGAAGCAGGACCCTCGCAGACAGTCTGGTGACGACAGGGTAAATCTAAAATTAGATAAACAGCTTTCACATCAACCAATTTTAAACACCAAAAGTTACGAAAATACCCTACATTAAGCTATTTTTTAGACTGATTATTAGTTCCAGCAATTAATGCACCAAATCTGTTCTTTTCTTAGAATAAATCGGTGGTGAATCTGATGTTTGCAGCCCACAGTGGAGATGTCTCAGCTCTGAGAAGGTCATTTTATATACTTCAAAATGTCTTTATTACTCCAAATTTTTGAGTGCTACTGAAATATAAATTACTTACTGCCCTCTTATGTTCTTCAGGTTTGCCCTTTCATCTATGGATATGGAGCTGAAGGACTATGACTCTCGTACACCACTTCACATAGCTGCTGCAGAGGGTAGAATCGTTTTCTGCAAACATAAAAGAATCTTTCGGTCCCAAACATGATTTGTTAATCATAAACGTAATTTGTCGTCTATGTCTTCTCTGTTTTAGGTCACATGGATGTTGTGCTATTTCTGACACAGTCCTGCAAAGTAAACCCTTTTGTGAAAGACCGGTACAGAGCCCTGTTTCTTTACATGTTTACCTTCAGCTTTATCCAGTTGGTGATAATTGACCTCATATCTCGTATTCAGGTGGGGGAATATTCCTCGGGATGATGCCATGCAGTTCGGCCATGAGGATGTGGTGAAGCTCTTGGAAGAATATGAGCTAAACTACAGTCTGCAAACATCTCAGACTGACACAGAAGACCAATGTCATCAATCCAAATGTTCATCTCTGGAGGGATGAGTGTAATCTGCTGTGAATTTAACCAAATTTAAGGACTATAGATCATGTCATCAGATATTGTGAAAATAAGGGCACTTATATGGAAATGTCTCTGGACAGAGATAAAAAGCTAATTGTTTTT